GTTAGAGGAGGTAGTCGACCCAACTTGACAGAAGGATCCTTGTCGGCAGCCATGGGTTGCTTCGTCTAAGAGGACCTTGTAGACTGGGGTTGAATGTTTGTCTAAGGGGACAAATTTGAATCCACCTTAGCTTGCAGAGAGCTTTGTGCCCTATCGATTATGTCCTTTTGATTCATATCTCAAGGATTTGATGCCAATAAGGAACATAACGGCGCTGGCCATAACCGGTATTTCGTGGTGCCATTTGACGGCAAAACCATTTGGTTCAGAGGGCCCCGGGTCATAACCGTTTACCTGCAGTGCCATTTAGTGGAGAAACTACTGGTTAGAGGACACGTACCACGTCCTTACTAGCAGGAGATTGTCTTGAGAATGGATCCTAGTGATATTTTCGACTAGGCATTTAGCTCTTTTGTGAGCTGAGGTAAATTTGATTTGTCCGCCCCGGCAAACTGTTGCGGAGGACGGATGGATTTTACTTTAAGTGTTTGATGGATTTATTTCAATTTTAAATATTTTTGGATTTTAGGATTATCTTGGAATTTTTCTAGAATTTTGGGTGGATCCTTGGATTTTGCGGATTTTTGGATTTTTGTGGATATTTGGGTGGAGCTTTGGAATATTTGAAATAAAACTTTAAATATTTGAGAGATATTTGAAAATATTTGGGAACCCTTCGGTTAAGATCTGCATTCAACACGGCCATCATCGGGGTGTTTGGGGTTATTTCTCTTTTGTTGATTGAACCCTGTCAACTCGACCAGGCTATTGATCGAAGATTGGGTTTCGTAGGCTTCGTGCCTTTTGATAGTAAATTCTCATTGTTATAAGCATTGAAGGCCTAATATGAATATATTAAGACAAATATGACGGACGCCACAATCGTATATTTATTTGTTGGTTCGAACCCTGTTGGCTTCTATTGACCCGTATAGAAGGATCGATTTCGAACCTGAATTCACTTGTCAACCTGCGAAGCATCCCTAGAGGTCACGTGTGTACCAATAACATGCTCGTCGGGGCCCATGCGGGTTGAGAATATATTTCCCCCTTTAGTATACCTATGTGTATACAATTTATAGTGCACGTGCGGGGGTATCTTTAGAATATTTATAGACGCCTTCTGTCCGCTTGCATAGAAGTTGCGGATCCGATGGCATGTCGTAGCAGCTTCTGAATTTAATGGTTCGCTACTTTATACAGGTAGACTGTCGTGCACTATTTGTTGGTTTCTGCAGGTGGATCGTAGTGCACTAACGAATCTCCTGTTTTGGATTGTATGAGCTTGCACTTGTCGTAGTCTTCATTCATTTTGTTGTGGTCTTTGATCTTTCCAATACATCCGCTACTACTACATGTAGGTAGGTAGATGTCTTCCTTCTCAGACTGAAATTAACTTCAGGATACTGCATTTACTGAAGTCCTTCTGCATCTACCCATAAGTGACATATTATACATACATCCATATTTATAAAGAGAATGTATGTATTGCAGATCTTTTTGTTGTATATAAGAGATTTTGCATTTATCACAGTTCTTGTATATTTGTCTGTAGATAGTGTATTGTGTATAAGAAGGGTCTTATACAACAACTTGAAGGAGTTTGCATTTGTTGTAGCGCTTTAATATTTGTTCGTAGATGGTACTTGATGTGTTGTAAGTCTCCTACGACGTGTCTTCTGTGATGACCCATAAGCTTTTTTGCATTTAATGCATTCCTTATGCATTTTGCTATTTTATGTCTGTCTGCAGGAAACTTCATTCTACTGATTGATAGATTATTGCATTTGCATATGTATCATCCGGCATTTGCTTGTAGATAGCATGTGGCACTCTGCTATAGTGTACTTATTTGTAGTTGTGTGAAATAGTTGCCATCATATTTATGCTTGCTTGATAACTATCATTAGTTGTTCACTATCATCTGCAAATAAATTGTGCATCTCATTGGAGATATACACATATACATTGTGTTATCTTTAGTCATGAGTAAATGATACCATGCCAATCCACTAATTAATAAATTTCATACATGTCCAATATTCTATTGGAAGGATTGCATTATCATTCAAATGATACTCTAAAGTCATCATATGATGGCTTTATGATCAAACATATCTTCAAAATCTTGTATTCCTTATAAACAAGTTACTTTCATCATTGTTCTCAAAAGTTCATTGTAATTTGTATGATGAATGTAGCTTATTCATCAATATTTTCATTTTGATTGCAACAATTCTTTGCAACTCAATTGCTATTTTCATGCCAAAGTTTGCAAATCACTTATGTATAGCTTTTTTCTCTTGTAGACAAGTTATACTCCTTGCCTCCAAACATTATTTGCAACATGCATGAGGATTCCGCATAATCTTTTATTTGTTTATGAGTAAATTAAATTCATTAAGATTTTAAAACAAGTCTCATGTTTCCAAATCAAGCTTGAATTAATATTCAATTTGTTTCATTTGAGTTTGAATTTTGCAAGCACACTTGAGTTCAAATCAAGTCCCTTTCATTGTTCAAGTTCAAGTTCATGTCCATTTTGCTTGACTCAAATCAAGTCCAAGTATAGTTTGTCATGTCAAGTCCAAAATCATTTTTAAGTTTAAATCATTTGAGTTAATCAAGTTCATATTAATTATTTAAATATTATGTCATTTTGCATTTTTTTCAAGTTCAAGTCCAAGTGCAAGTCCGAGTTCAAGCCCCAGTCCAAGTGCAAGTTCCAGTCTGAGTTCAAGTTCAGTTCAGGCTTAAGATGAGCCTCTTCCCTTCATTCGAGTCCCCTGTAGTCCTTGCAAATGCAAATTAATGTCCAAATTGTTCAAATTATGATTTGAGTTTGAGTTCACTTAAGTCCAAATAAAGCATCATGTTCACCCGAAATTTCGGCAGCCTCCCGACGTCTCCCCCGTTTAGGGGCAAACTACGAGAAACTGAGCCTTTCCCACCACGCTAAGAAAAGCGTGCATGGTAGATGCCCTCTTTCGAGGACATCGCGGCCGTGTATTTTTTTTTTATCCCCCACCACGCTAAGAAAAGCGTGCATGGGCATTTTGTGAAAAAAGTTATTATATTTATTTTTTTTTAAAACATTTTGCAAGAAAAAAAAACAGTTATTTCCCCGCAAGCGGGTACTTATGAGTATCCCTCCTTCGTCGTACGCGTCGCACGGGTTCCCATCCCACCATGCTAAGAAAAGCGTGCATAGGCGGTTTTTCGGTGCGCTACGAACTCCGAAGAAGAGATTTGGAATCGAGGATCGCTCGCCTACCTTATCATGGGTGTCACGCCGGTTGCCCCTCCCACCACGCTAAGAAAAGCGTGTATAGGCAGACCACCGACTCGACACGCATGTCGATGTAAGAGAACAAAAAATGGTTCGAAAATCGAGACAAAATTTTCTTTTCTTTCTCTTTTCTTTTTTTTTTGTTTCTCCCCTTTTTTTTGATTCTCCCCTTTTTTTTGTTTGGAGAAATCTTCTTTTCTTTCTCTCTTCTTTTTTTTTTGAAACTTCTTTTCTCTTTTTTTTTTATTTTTCTTTTTGTATATATATATATATATATATAAGCCATAACATTTACTTACATATATTCACTACTAATAATGACAATCTTTACTACTATAAACAATTACATTTATCACTGTTTTATCAATATAATAAAAGCAGTAATAACTACTGATGCGTATGCAAGAATATGATTTAATGAAACTTACATCAAAGATTAAATTTTTAGCCTGCAGTGTAAGCTTGAATGATTATGAATATGTGGTTGCAGGAATTGCAAGAAGAATTACCATTTGCACTTCTAAATATGTATATAATTATCTCAACGCTTAAAAAAAAATCTAAACCTTTTATCTGTCCAAACTTTCTTCTATGGATTTCTTTATACTCATGTTGTCAGGTAAAAGAAAACTTTTTTTTGGGGTAATAAAATATAAAAGAAAACTTGGTCTAGTCCTGAACTCGCATTGATTTACTGGATCCAAAAGAGAAGTTCTCTAATACTCATTCCATTCCTTCAACACTTCTGTTGGCATGCATAAAATTAAAAAAAAAAAAAAAAATAGCATGCAAGCTTTTGTCCCATCACCTCTACTTTAAGTGCAACCTCTTTTTTTTATGATTTTGCTTTCTCCAAGTATTGTTTAATACTTATATCTTGCATGACACGTTTCTCATAAGGACCAACCAATTTCTTTACCTGGAGAGAGAGTATTTCTCCAAAATTGTTTGTCCTTTTCTTTTTTTTTTTTTAATAAAAAGTTGACGTAAAGTAAATTTGATTTGTGAAATTTACTTGGCTTTGCCGAGAAAGAAAAAAAAAGCATGGAAATAAACTAAAAAATATATATACTGTGCCCCCCTTTTTTTTTTTTTTTTTTTCACATGGCTGTCAGGAATCTCTTTACCTTTTCTCTTGCTTAAAGTAGGGATGAAGCAGGCTAATCAGAGACAGAAGTTCGGCTTGTGAAAACTAGTTGCGCGTTGTGAGCACTTCCCTGGCTTGGAACGCAGAGGAGCTGTGTGCGTTTACACAGAGGCTGAACGGTGTTGCTCAGTTGCTGAGGTGAGGTCGGCGTTTGAAGAAGAGGGGATTTCACGGCTTGGACGAGAGGTGGGAGGCGAAGGCAGAGGTGTGGACGTCTTGATTGGAACCGTGAGAGTCTAGAAAGAAACTTGCGAATAAAAAACAGACGTTCACCTAGAGCTTGCGTGCATGGGAGAGGGAATAGTAGTAAAAAAAACTAAAGCTCTCTTCAGCCTTATTTTAACGAAGGAACTGTGCACTCGGCGAGGCAAAGTCCGCTCAATATTTCGCTTCAGCGGGAATTACGGGATTTAATCCAAATTCAGAGAAGAAAATCCGAAGAGATACGAGGTGAGATTAATGAGATTTAACGTTTCATTTGACTCCTGTCCATTTGATTTTTTTTGTATATAGATTTTTTTTTGTATATATATTTTTAATCAAAATAATGCAAGGTCAATATCATGCTATTATTTGTCCACTTGAAATGATATCTACATGACACTTCGTCAGAATTTTTTGAATTTGCGCAGCTCCTCGATTTGTGTGCATATCACATCGAAATATGTGTAATCACCTGGTTTAGCATGTCAAATTTGTCGAACATAAACATTAGGCAAATTGGGAGTGTATTTAGGGTATTGCTGATGTTCAGGTCGTAATGGCGCAGTCCGTTTAGCCATCGGACACCGTTTGGGCGACGACGAGGCTTAATTCCCTCGAAGTGCGTGATGTCTCGATTTGCGCTCAAAACTTCATTCAAACAAATTGGCACTATATTCATAATATTGACGGTGTTCCGGACCCAATGACGCAGTTTGTTTTGCAATAGGACGTCATTCGAGCATGTTCGAGGCATCGTTTCCTTCGTAGCGCATGCCTTCGTAACATATTTGAGCCGCCTTTGAAAATTTTTTAACACTTTAGACGATCCAAATTTATTAAATAAGATGTATATTCTGAATGTCGGGGATGTTCCGGACGCAACGACTCTGTCCGTTTGTCAATTGGATGTCGTCCGAGCGTCTTCGAGGGCTCATTTCTGTCGTAGCGCAGGCCTTTACATCATATTTGAGCCGCCTTTGAAATTTTTCAACTCTTCAGACGATCCAAATTTATTAAATAAGATGTATATTCTGAATTTCGGGGATGTTCCGGATGCAACGACTCTTTCCGTTTGTCAATTGGATGTCGTCCGAGCGTCTTCGAGGGCTCATTTTCATCGTAGCGCAGGCCTTTATATCATTTTTTTTTTGCCTAGGAATCCACGACACTATTGATGACCTTTGCGACAAATGGAGATCTAAAAAGCGTTTCAATCATCTTTCTAGCGGTGGATCTTAATCTTTTAATAATCATTAGGATTCTTCTTATCAGCAAATGCATGAGGGTTGATGAGCTTCTGCACTGACCTTTCCCCAAGCCCTCTAATCTAGATACTTTCGCCTTCTTTTTTAATGACCATTGCAATCATCATTGCAGATGAGCCCATTCAAGTTGTCACCAAAATTCTAATAACCAAACCCCATAAGTCAAAGAGACGAGCACCTTCTCCCTTTTACCTTTATCTTGCTTCTCATCATCCTCCCAAAATGTCATCCAGCACAAGCAAGAACTTTTTGGACATGATTTCAGTCCAAAGGCTATCCTAACGTGCCTTAAGCATCTCCAAAGGAGGTCTCTCCTTCTTAAGAGATTCCAACATATGTGCAATGACTTTTTTCACATCAAAGTTGTTGGAAACACAAACCTACATTTTAAAGTATAATTCCTTTGTCATTCAATTTTCATAAACAGGTTGTAAGAGCGTTGTCTTGCACATACCACCACCATGGCCCATTATAAATAGAAGAGAAATATTTCTGTACAAATCAGCCCCCATTAATAGAAACTTGGTGTTTGTCATTTAATTTGCTTCATCGACTAGTGCATAATCAAATTTAATGCAATCCATACTCAAACTGAATCCTTCTTTATCAAATTTAAGATTCGAGCTGGTTGTAGGGGTCAACATGACTATATACAGGATTTCTCTCTAATTTTTCTTAACAGAAATTGACACACCCATGCCAAGACAATCAAACAAATTTTAATGGTTTCCTGTTACTCATTAAAATAAATTACTTAGAACAAGTTATCAGGGGGAACAATTAAAATGATAGATAGCACATCAGAATTTTATTTTATTTTTTAATTATCTCATATTAGTAAATATAACGATTTCTATTTATGTTTGGAGATTTCTTCATAAGCTCATTCCTACCGATGAGAATCTGAGGAAAAGAGGGTTTAGCTTCCCCTCTAAATGTCAATGTTGTTTCCATGTTGAGAATATGCACCATGTCTTCATATCTGGTCCTGTTGCTGTTAAGGTTTGAATTTACTTTGAAGATATGTTTCACTTCAATTTTTTCTCTGTGAATTCCACTTTATATTCTCTTTTTGATTGTTGGCTGGTTAATGCTAAGGGGCATATTCGTAATGTTATTCCTTGTCTGATTCTTTGGTTTCTCTGGTTGGAACAGAATGATTCTCATTTTAATGGTGTGCCGATGGATTACAAGAGAATTATTCAAAAATTAAAGACAAAGTGTTTGCTCTTTTTTCTGTTTAGCTCCTTTAGTATAAAATTTTTAAGAATGCCTACTTTGTCTGTCATAACTTGGGTATTAATCTGGTGGTGGATAATTCCTTTATGATCACTAAATATACCTCGTGGACCAAACCTTCTAGTTTTGTTAAGCTAAATGTTGCTAGTGCTAATTTGGGTAATTCTTTTGGCTTTGGGGTGTTTTAAGGGATCACAGTGGCTTTTTTATCTGCAGTTTTGCTGGGCCTGTGGTCTTGGGTGATATCAATCTTGCTAATTTTGTTGGTGTGCTTCACGGCTTACAAGTTAATCTTAATTTAATTGATGTTGTGTTGGAAGCTGATTTTGATTTTAGGGTGCTCATGAGTTTGGATGACTTTAATTGCTCTTCGATTCTTTTTTATACTCTGAGGGATATTAGAGCTTCCCTTAACTTAGTGCATTGTAGTTTTTCCAATATCCTTACTAAGGCTAATGCGTGTGCCTATGGTTTGGCCTGTATTGGTTGTGATTTTAACACTATTAAGGAGTTGGATTTTTTCCAGCTTCCTCTTTTCATTAAGGGTCTTCTTAGACTGGACCGTCTAGGGTTGCCTTATGTTAATGATTAACCTGCTGTTCTCTTCTTTTTTCATCTGTTTGGCCTTTATCTCTGATCCTGGTTTTCTCCCGTGGTTGGTTGTTGGTGTTTTGCTCCGTAGCTGCTGTGAGGTGGATGCCTGGACCTCTTTTTGAATTATTGTGTTAGGCCATTGGTTTTTCTGTTTCCTGGATCTGTTCTTATTTTGCTAGGTGTTTTTTTCTTCCTTAGTGATATCTTACTGCAATTTGGATGTCTCGTTGTTCGATGGGTTGTGTACTGCTACTTCATGTTGCTTGCTCTTCAATGGCTTTGTTTTCCAGGGTCTCCCTGTTGGCCTTGGGGACCCTATGTTGATTTTTGGAGGGCTGGATGGGTTTACTATGAGTTCCCTTTGTGATTTTGCTGCCTCCGCTCCTGCTTGGTGGCCTGGCTTCATTCCTTGGAGGATGTTTTACGTTCCTTATACCACGGCTTACTGGATCTTCGTCTTTACTTTTATCTTATTTAAGCTTATTTATCATACTTTTTTGTTTTGTTTTTTTGTGGTCCTTGTGTTGTTTGTGCAGGATTTTTGTACAGGTCTTTTGGAATTTACTAGTTCTTCTGGGAAGCTGATTGTGCTTGTTTGTTTTTCTTATATATCTTCCCCATTTTTGGGTGCTTGTGCTTAAGTACCGTAGAATGTTACTAGGTTATCTTGTACTTTTATGAAGTAAGGACCCTGTGCTCTTAGTTTTTTTTTTTTTTTTGGCTTTTACTTTTGTAGCTCTCTGGAGCATAGTGAGCATGGGGTCCTTTTAACGACTTTGTAATCTTTTTCCCTGAATTAATGCGTAGGCCCCTCCGTGGGTTTTAACCAAAAAAAAAAAGACTTTTAACAGGGCACAATGGTGAAAGGGATTCATGTAGCCGACCCCACAATGGGATAAAGGCTGGATGTTGTTGTTGTTGTTGGTCAATAGTCAATTGAGTTAAGAATATCTAGTGAAAACATTCCCAAGGTACAATAAGAAGTAGCTATTTTTGTGAATGCGAGAAAGAAAACCTTGGGTTGGAAATTGATCTATGAAGGTTTTTTAGTTTGTTTTACAATAATTCTGTGGAAAATAAGCAAGGAAATTTTTTGAAAAAATATTGATAAAAAATTATGTTATTTCTACTGAATATTCAATTCTTCATTCCATCAAATTTGTTCGGCAGCTAATTATGAGAGTAAATCTGCAATTTCCATTATGATCATATGTTATCTCCTACACCATACTCATAAAAAGATAGGACCAACATCCATTTTTCTAGACAACAATAAGGGCACTTTCTCAACCTGCATCCATGACAGCTACCTTTTAAAAGTAGGAAGTATTTAGATAAGTCATTTATACCAGGTCATCCAAGCTTTTTATAAAATCACTTGATCATGAATTTAGCCACCCCTTGGCCCATTGCTATAAAGATAATGGGAAAAATCTCAAAATGGATAGGGTTATTAGAAATGGCATTATATCTGCCACAACCTAACCTAATGTTTTTTAAATATTAATTCAATTATCGTTGGAGATTATTACCCTAGTAGATAGCTTTTTCATGATGTTTCATCACAAATTCTTAATGATATATGATATATGACATATTTCAAGGATTATATTGGATCTATTGATACCACATTGACGCACTCATCTATGTTGAAGAACAGGATGCATATATATATATATATATATGGGACGATATCATTCTGGTTACCAAGCGCTTTAGCTTTCTTTCTTCTTCACTATATCTGTCGTTCAAGACTTCTGCTTGAAAGCTAACTGGAATTATATATAGTTGATTCATGTGAGGAAATCATGGATGTACATGCAGAACTGCTTCATAATACAGGAGAATGAGAGGCTTAAGAAGAAGGTTCAACTTCTCAACCCAAAGAATCAGGAATACTATGTAAGATCAAGCAAAATCACTCGAAATCTAGTCAAGCTTGAAGCAGCAACTCTAAGCGAAGCCGAAACAAAATGCTTGGCTTTGATGGTCAAGCCACCGGAAGATCAAACTGATAACTCAATCGCATTCAACTTGATGGTCAGAAATGCTCTTTTTTTTTTGATGTTTTGGGATTATTAGAAGCAGGTTCATGTGTATATGCTAGGAAAACTGAAGAAGCAGAGAAAAGCAAATATTAATTTCAACCAAATCTCACTATAAAAAATTTATGTTTTCTTTTAAGCAGTTGGCAATTGTGTTTTCTTATTTACGAAAACAACGTAACATCTTTAGTATTAGTTCTCACAAGGAAAAAAAGGAGAAAAAGGAATGATGAAGATCCTCCCCGTTTTATTTAATTTTTCAAAGCTCTCAGAAAAATCAAAGCATTATCGTTAAACGATAAGGAATCTTCAATCACTGTTTTCATCATCACTCCGCCCGTTATGATCACCACTTCTCCCGTTATGATCACCACATTTCGGGTTGAAGCAAGCATAGACTGGAACCATTCTTTCCTCCATGTTAGGCTGTATTGTACAAAGAAAAGAAAAATTAATAAAAAATTGTGCTGCTTACGTATAATCAATAAAGTCCTGAAAGTTTTATGAAGGAGCTTAATTATTGTTCATTGATTACTCTTTGATCAGAGGTTACAGATTTGTCTATTATTAGTCCCTATTTCATGGTTCTTTAACACATGGCATTAGCTGAAATAAAGAGGAGCTGACCACATAGATTTCTTTTTTTCGATGGCCACAGACAGGACATGAGACACCGTTTGCACGAGGAAGTGTTGGGTATTGGGGAGCATTCCGCAGAGGTATCTTGTCCTCATTTCTTTCATATCTCAACTCCAAGTTGTTTTCTGCATTCACCTGTATTTTATCAATTGAGCTATTTAATACATCTTAAATGAATATAATATGTATGTTTAAGACATGAGATATTAACATGTAAGCCTCTTTTATGAGTTATATATATATATATATGTGAGAAGCTACTAATGTAATATTTTCTCCAAATATAAATATCAAATGGTAATGAATTACAGTAGAACGGTAGAATGCATTCTATCATTTTACAAACTTTCTATTAATCAATTGAAATAATAAGTGTAAAACATAATAGAAAACTAAATGAAAGTTAGGGCTTGTTTGGGACAGTTGTATTGATGTTTTACGTTGGTTCGTGCGCATTAGAAGTCGAAATGAGTGAAACACCTTGCACTTCGCCACGACATTAGTGTCTTAGCTCTTTGCGCTTCCCGCGGGAAAGAGCGGATAGCAAAATGGGGAACTGCCTTTCTCGACCTCGACCCACCCCGACTTTAGTTCACTCCAAACTCCCCCCTACCGAAAAAAGTGCTAATGTTACCTCTTTCTTCTAGTAATGTGGAAGTCACCAACTCAGCTCACCCTTCATCACTCTCATGAGCAAATCGTTACCTTCAACATGGAAGAAAATGGCACAGTAGAGGCTGTGGCTCGCCGGCTGCTCGGGCTCTGTGTTTCATGTTCGTTATCCTAACTGTCACCTCTACTCTAAATTCATAAATAGGGCCCTGGTCGGTAACTTTTCCGGGCCGGCAGGATCGAGAAGTGGAAGTCAATTAGACAACAATTACAAATTTGTTTGGTTACTATTTTCTTGTTGATTTCTCACGATTCTAAAAAGTTTTTATGATGGAAAGCTATTTTTTGGCAATTTAAGTAGCTATGTTTCTTCCTCCACATACCCAATTTTATAAAACACAGTAGTCATCCCAAAACTATCACCCTCAGTCTCATGAGGGCCATTTCTAATTCTAATAATCATTAATAAAATTTGATCAATTATTTAATATAAGTGTAGGTGCCAGTTTGTTTGTTCTATAGGATTTCAAAAAGATAAAAATCAAATATGCTGAAAATCATTTATAGCTCAAATTAAAGTTGATGGTTTACTGCTCAAATTAAAGATGATGTTCATAGTAGTTCAAACACAGCTGATTCACCAAATTAAAATGCAGACTTTAGAAAATATTATTTTATTTATTTAGTATTTTTTATCTGTGAATTATTATGTTAAAAATTGATGACGTTTAGAAAGGCTTATGTACACTAACAAATTAAAAAAATTATCTAAATCATTAAGTTATTTTAGCAAATATATCTAAAACTGGTCTAATAATATAGTATGATATAGATTGAAATGTGCAAATGCTTATCAAAGCCATGCAAATCGATCAAATTAATCACATCAATCATATCAACTTATGGATCATATTGTACGAAATGAAAAGAGAAGAAAAATGAAAGACAAAAAAAATATGGGTGTTAGTTTTTAACACTAAGTCATTTGCCCTTCTCATGCTTTGATTCTCAACATTCAAATCTAGATTTGTGAGCTTTATATTTTTTTATTGAAAATGAGATTTCATATTTAAATTTGCATATCCTTTAAAGGGATATTATTAAGATTGATCTATTTTTTGCCTAAAATTATGGTACTGTTGTGAACTAAAGATTTATGTTTTTGCTAATGAGTATCTATACGTGGAGTTTTTATTGTGAGGCTTATCCATTATGAAAATATAGGGGGAGTGGATGTAGGTCTCACGGAAATTAAAACACAATATGTTAATGGATTGTTCTATGTTTTTATTTTTAAGCACTTTATTTTCTATTATTTTTTCCCATCACTTTTAGATAACCGTTAAACAATAGGTTAACATTCTAAAATTAACTTTATTTCTAAGACTAGCTCAAGGGAGCTAGATGGTTTAGAAATAGAAGATTGAGTTTACTGCATTAGCCAAGCATGCTTCGTGGATTATTAACACCTCTGTGGAGAAGTATAATAGATATCTAAGAGGTCTCTAGGTTGGTAAAAGGAAACCTACGGTGCCGTTTCATATTTTTGACTTTCTAGAGTTACTGAATAGCCCATTTGGTAAAGAATTATCTGAAAACTATTCAACAGTGATGGGTTTCTAGTAGGAAGAGATTTATGGGAGAGACTTCTAGGAGAAGATCCAATGGAAAGAAGAGTAGGTTTCGGCTAGGAGATTACTAGAAAGGCAATATCAGTGTTAGTGGAGTACATGTTTATCAAAGCTTTGGATAGAGACATCTTTGTTAGTTTTTTAGAGTGACTAGATAGTGCTTCTTCTTTTTTTTTTTTTTTTTTTTTTTGGGACATTTAGGCCATTTAAAGCAAACTCACACACACAACGCATACACAAATACTTGAACCTTGGACCTCTTAGTTGGAAGCCTAAGCTCTCAACCAATAGGCCAAGGAGAGTTGTGTAGATAGTGCTTCCATTGCAACCACACTTAGAATAAGGCGCCTAGTTGTCTGTATGTTGGATTTGATAGACATTTTGATGTGAAAGCAGAGAGCTATAAACAGTAGAAATATCGAAAGTAGTTTCAGCCCATGTTTTATCTTTAGGATCTTATATTTATAGTCTAGAAACTCACGTTACAAAAAGAAAGACTGTTCTAAACTACTGTGCATGAACATTTGTGGATTATGAACTAAGATTACTAAATTTTTGCTTATATTTATTGAAATAGGATGAAATTAGATGATTTGATATTAATTATATAATAAATTAAGTATAATTATATTAATTATATTTTGGTGCGTGATTGTTTGGAAGAATTGAATTATAACTAGTGGTCTATAAATGATTAGTAGACAAATATAAAGTAGATTTTTTTTTTTTTTGAAAGAAATGCTGCATTAGAAATGGAAAAAAAAAAAATTTATTTCAACTTACTTAATCAAATCTAACGAATCAAATTCATACTTCAAAAATTGAAAGAATGGAGGAATTTCAATGTTAGTTAGATCATGCCAAATAAAACTTTTGCTCAAAGCTAAATTAGCGCAATAATCCGCTAATTTACTACAATTTCTAGTAGTAAAACTAAAAGAAACTTGACTGAATTAATTAATGAAGGATAACTCATCTTCAATTGTTTCTTTATTCTTTAATCTCTTCAAAGCTTGTTGAAGAGTCTTGATGATGTTGAAGTTATATCCTTCAATAATAACACCTTATGCTTCCACCATTGTGGGCTCCGAAAATTCGGCTCCGGCCTCCCCGCCGCGCGATTTCTTTTTGTTTATTTCAGCGATGGAGTTTTAACGAACTAAGTTCCGGGGTAAATTTTGGAAGGCAGATGGGTTTGTAGATAAGACACTACCCAAAGATTTTGCCCTCATTTTGTGAGGACTTTATGATCTGAGTTCTGGTTTCCTATAGGCGCAAGCCCCTATAGTTAATTACCCCTCCCGATCACGAGAGAGAACTTTCGATTAAGGCTAGTCGTCAATCAGATACGTTGTATCCATAGATATATAGTACCAGGCATATAGTAGCAGCATAGGGTTTATTAAATTTGGAGAATTTGAGAATTTGGAGTATTGAAAGATTTGGAGATTTCATATTTAAAATAGAAACTTCACCATCTTGTACTTAAAGCGGATGGTGGGGGAATGGATGATGGACCCGATCAAGATCCCATGATTCCGTCGTCCCGGGCCATCGTGGTCCCTGGTCTACTTAGTCAGAGGAGGTAGTCGACCCAACCTGACAGAAGGATCCTTGTCGGCAGCCATGGGTTGCTTCGTCCAAGGGGACCTTGTAGACCTGGGTTAGATATTTGTCTAAGGGGACAAATTTGAATCCACCTTAGCTAATAGAGGGCTTTGTGTCCTATCGATCATATCCTATTGATTCATATCTCAATGATTTAACGCCACTAAGGAGCGTATTGGCTCTAGTCATAACCGCTATCTGTGGTGCAATTTGACGGGAAAACCACTCGGTTCAGAGGGCCCCGGGTCATAACAGTTTACCTGCAGTGCCATTTGGCGGCAAAACTGTCGGTTAGAGGACACGTACCACGTCCTTATTGGCAATAGATTGTTTGAGAATGGATCCTAGTGATATTTTTGACTAGGCATTTGGCTCTTTGTGAGCTAGAGTTTATTTGAATTTGTCCACCCCGGCAGACTGTTGTGGAGGGTGGATGAATTTTGTTTTAAGTGTTGATGGATAGTTTCTTTTTAAATATTTTTGGGATTTTTTGGGATTTTGGGTGGAGCTTTGGATTTTTTTGATTTTTATAGGTATTTAGATGGAATTTTGAGTATTTGGAATGACATTTGAAAAATATTTGTGAACCCCTCCGGTTGAGATAAGAAATCAACACGGCCATCATCGGGGTATTTGGGGGTTATTTTCCTTTAAATCTTGAACCTTGTCGACTCTGTCTGGCTGTCGACAGAGGATCGGGTTTCGTAGGCTTTATGCTTTTGAGAGTGAATTCTTTTGATTTTAGGCTTTGAAGGCCTATTATGAATGTATTAAAACAAATATTCCGGTCGCCACGACCACATATTTGCTTAATGGTTCGAACCCTGTCAACTCCTATTGATTCGTATAGAAGGATCAGGTTCGAATTTGAATTCACTTGTTGACCCGCGCAGCATCCCTAGATGTCACGTGTGTACCAATAACACGCTCGCCTAGGCCCATGCGGGTTTTATAATTATTTTCACCCCTTTTATTGTACCTATGTGTATACAATTTATAGTGCACGTGCAGAGGTATTCTTGGAATAGACGCCTTCTGTCTGCTTGTACGGATGTTGCAGATCCGGTGGAGTGGCGTAGCAGCTTCTAGATCAGTTGTTTGATGCTTTGTACAGGTAGATTGTCGTGCACTACTCGTTGCTTTCTGCAGGTAGATCGTAGTGCCCTAACTAATCTCCTGCCTTGGTTGTAGATGCCTACATTTGTTGAATCCCTTTTTAGCACTTTTGCTTGTGAATGTTGCCATGGGCACACAGTGGGTCTTCTACGGTAGCTCATAGAAGCTTGAATTTGTTTTAGTACTTCAGTACTTGTATGTAGAAGGTATGTTGGATGCGCGATCATTGTTCATCAAAAGGATTGCAAGCCTCAATAATCTTGTCCAGGTTAAAGTTCAAGCAT